ACTTGTGGGATCTTTACGGATTTGAATAGAGCTTGAAAAATTAGTTTATAAGTTCTCCAACCCTTTTTGATATAGTTAAATAGTTTCGGAGATATTTACATCTAAACATGACGATTTGACTAAATTTCCGTCGTGCTCGGGGGCCTGGGACTCAGGAACCGAGTTCTTGTCAAACATAATATAATCAATCGTAATTTTACTTCGATCTTCCAATAACGTAAAATATTTTGAGAAAAACTCGCCCAGTTGCTCAGCCATACACAACGCATCATTCCCGCATTTTTTTCTTCAAAAGCGCAAACTATATCGCCAGTGAAACTTTTTATGTTACATTATAAAAGACGGCGTGTTTGCAAATCATTCCTGAGTCCCAGTCCCCCCAACCGACGTATTCTCAAGACTATTTAATTATATAAAAAAAGGTTGTACAGGGTGTATCAAAAAAAAGGAGACCTTTAGAAATCAAGCTATTGTTAAAATTTGAATGCCTTTTCAATTGCATTTGAACATATACTGAACCGTAGTGCGTGAAATATTGATGCATACATTAGAAAAAGGAGACCTTTAGAAAATGAATTGACGTTTGTACAAAAGATTGTCTGCTCCTGGGAATTTGATAACAGCATAAGGAAAAATAACGACCCAAAAATATTCAAATGACTAAGCACAAAAGCGATAACAGTATGCATGGTGGATTGTTTTAGCTGTTCCTTCAAAACATGAACAAATATTTCATGGACCATGTCCTTCAACGTGGCCTCCATTTCTCTCAACACAAACTACCGTACGCTTGTGCATATTGCGAACTGCTTTTCTGATGACGGCAGGCTGCCCTCGTAATGCATTACACTGTTCAATTATTTTCTGCCGTAAATCCTGTATATTCTGAGGGGGAGTGGAAAATACTTTGTCCTTCAGATATCCCCACAGAAAAAAGTCACATGGAGTCAGGTCTGGTGAGCGAGGTGGCCATTCAACATCATGACCTAATCCTACAACGCGATTATTCCCAAACACTTCATTCAGGCGGTCTCTTACTTGTATGAGACGGTGAGCTGGGGCACCGTCCTGCACCCACCAAAGACCCCGAATCATTCCTTCCCAATACTGGTTGTTGAAATTCACAGCGAGTTGAGGGAAAACAAATTTGTTGAGCATTCTGAGGTACGCAATTCCGTTTACATTTCCGTCGAAAAAATAAGGTCCTATAAGCAAACCATTGCCTCAGAGTGATACCCAGACAGTGAGTTTTGCGCGGGAATCATTGCGTTCAAAATTAAAAGCGGGTGGTTGACCTTTTGGAGCATATTGGCGTACGTTATGGGTATTAACTTCTCCATTAATCGAAAATCCGGCTTCATCTCCAATGATAAGACTATCCAAAAAATTTCCGCGTTGACAACGTTGGTTAAACCACTCAGAGAACTGTAATTGACGTGCAAAGTCGCCCGCTAACAATTCATGTCGCACATGCATACAATATGGATGCCATCCTAAATCAAGCCTAGTTATCCTGTTAAACCCGGCAGACGAAATTGGGAGAGGATTGCGACGAGCACTCACGTGTGGATTTTCTTCAAGAAGGTTCCTAACGGCATCAATATTATCCGCAGATTGTGCGGTTTTTGGCCTTCCGGACCGGCCTTTGTTTAAGTTAAGGCTCGTTGCTTCATTCGAGTATTTTCGCACGTTTTTAAGAATTGTACTTTTTACTGGTGGATTGCGATCACGAAACCTTTCTCGAAAAGCGTTTTGCACCTCAGCTATACTGCGAGTCTGGGTATAAGTTAACACTACAAAAACTCTTTGCTCCGAAGTCAGTTGAACCATTTTTGTACTGGTAGTGTGCTTAGTCATTTGAATATTTTTGGGTCGTTATTTTTCCTTATGCTGTTATCAAATTCCCAGGAGCAGACAATCTTTTGTACAAACGTCAATTCATTTTCTAAAGGTCTCCTTTTTCTAATGTATGAATCAATATTTCATGCACTACGGTTCAGCATATGTGCAAATGCAATTGAAAAGGCATTCAAATTTTAACAATAGCTTGATTTCTAAAGGTCTCCTTTTTTTTGATACACCCTGTAGAACTTATAAACTAATTTTTCAAGCTCTATTCAAATCTGTAAAGATCCCACAAGTGATATAGGCACTTTAAAGGTGAAATAAGAGTGTTATATAATGTGATGCATTCACTTTGAGGAATAAGATGTTTTACACGTCTCAATAGGCCAATTCGTTGATTTATCTTGCTAACCATATTCTCCACATGATTTGACCATGTTAAATTCCGATTAAATATTATCCCCAAGTATTCCATTGATTCAGTTTGCTCAAGTTCAGAGTCATGTGCCACAATAACAATATCATGACATGATTTCAATTTTTGAGCGCTGCCAATAAGCATAAACTTGGACTTGCTACTATTTAACGTCAAACGATTATCATTAAACCAATCGGCTAATCTTGATAGATCAATATTTAAATCTACTTCAATCTCCGCGACAGAGGCAGAGGAGAAATAAATAACTGTGTCATCCGCATATAAAGAGACTTCGCATGATTCAATAACGTTTGGTAGATCATTGATAAAGATTGTAAAAAGTAGAGGCCCAAGAATACTCCCTTGTGGCGCTACCAATAGCGGATAACTTATCAATAAGAATACTATGGTCAACAGTATCAAACACCTTTGTCAGATCTAAGAATGCGACACCAGTAACCATACCAGAGTCCATGCCTTTCAAGATAGTATCTGTAAAATGCACTAGTGCGACTTCTGTTGATAACTTAGGCCTGAATCCAAATTGTTTCGATGTTAATTTATCATTGTCCTTTAGATAGCCATATAATTGTTGGTGAACTGCTCTTTCTAAGATTTTACTTAGAGTTGGTAAAATGGTGATGGGACGATAGTTATTCAGATCAGTACGATTTCCACTTTTAAAAAGCGCTGTTACTTTACCCATTTTCTAAATCGTTGGATAAATACATGATTGCAAAGAGCGATTGAATAGAATAGTAAGAGAAGGTGATATTACAGTACAAGCATCTTTAAGAAGGCGTGCGCTAATTTTATCCAGGCCAGTAGCTTTATTAGTTTTTAGATGTTGTAGCTGCTTTCTAACAAAGTCCTCTTTAACTGGTTGAAAATTGTGAAAGTGACTTGGTATTAATGTGAAAGTTTCGGCCAGCTTGGTAGCAATCGTTGTAAAATGAGCATTAAAAGTTTCAGCAATAGATTTTGGTTCAGTACTTGTAATTCCATTAGCTATAATGCATGTAGGTCTAGATGAAGATTTACGGCACGTAACTTCATTGAGGGTTTTCCATAACTGAGCTGGGTTTCCTTTGTTTTGTTCAATTTGATTTCGGTAGTATTCAGATTTACATTTCTTAACCTCTTTATTAACAAGTAATCTCAATTTGCGATACCTTTCCCAATTGGCAGACGATTTAGATTTAACTGCTTTTCGGTAATAATAATTGCGATCGTTCATCAATTGCGAAAGACTGGAGTTCATCCACGGAATTTGAATACCCTTGACACAATTTCTTTTAATTGGAGCATGATGGTCTGCTATTTCACTAAACATTTTGTTCCAAGTAGATATGGCAGAGTCAAGGTCAGGATCTTCAACAGCGTCGTGCCAATTTACATTTTTAAGATCATCGATAAATTTATTCTTATTGTATGATTTATATGAACAATATTCAATTACTCTTGGTTGGGGCTTAGGGACACCAGACTTAATTGTGCAGTAAATCAAGAAATGGTCGCTAATGGAAATAGGAATTACCCCGCTCTCTACTATACGCTGCCCATTGTTAACAAACAATAAGTCAATAATTGATTCAAATAATTCAGATATTTTCGTTGGAGAGGTGATTCACTGTTCAAGGTTATGCATATTTCTAAAATGTATAATTTTCTGTTTATGTTTGTAATCAGGATTCCCTCTAGACGAAAGGAAATTGATATTAAAATCTCCCAAAATGATCAATTCCGCATCAGGAGGCATGGATGCGAGAAGTGACTTAAGTTCCTCAATACCATTTTCGACCAACATTGACGGCGACTTATAAACACAGCAAATAATAAGCTTTTTACATTTTGGTCGTATGACCTCAACGGAGCATGTTTCTAAGCTTGTAGTTTTCAAATCCTTTCGATACTTATATGGTATACCATCACGAACAAACACCAACGTACCTCCTCCTCGTCTTCCATTTTCCCTATCTTGTCGAGCAAACGTATAGCCAGGCAATTCAATCTCCGAACTCGCAGCCGAGGAATTTAGCCATGTCTCTGATATAGTTAAAATTTCAAAGGGTATTTGTTTGATTAACATTCGGATATCATCCATCTTGTTGACTATGCTTCTGACATTCAAATGTGCCACTTTAAATCCACGAGCTTGCGGTGTTTTACTAAAAACAACATCGGGGCCAGGTTGAGTTTCGACATCATTTGCCAGGGCTATCAGAAATGCCGAGAAGCTTGCATTAAGTATAAAGCGACACGCCAATTTAACGCGTATTGGTGTACTGACAGGTTTCGAGGAAGTGATCTTCGATGGACGATAAATTCCTTCAAATTTTACAGTCGAAATATCCTGTGAGGCATAGAAAAGCTGGCTGCTTACTCGTAAATGTTGTGGCACATCATTTCTACGAACAATGCCACAAAAACTCACGTAAAAATACAAAAAAATCAACACATCCAGAGCACCTCAACACATCCAGAGCACCTCCAAATAGATGCATCTTTTGGAATTAGTTGATAGCTAGGTGACAAGGCAGTACATATATATGACTCCCATTGACAACGTATGATCATCTGGTGTCTAGAGTACAATACAATGAAAAAGCCAGGGAGTTTCAGGATGCATATGTCTGAGTAAGTTTCTCCCTCAATCCACAGCTCTACTGGATACATGATTATAAATGTCAGTCATGCATTTCATGTTATTTCTTTCTATTACATATAAAAGTTGTTACTGTATTATTACCGAAGAATGGTCCTTGGCATATGTACCATATAATGCATTTTGGGTATGATTGGGCAGTCTGGAAACAGTTCCTTGAATTTTTCGTGGTGTTGCTGTATCAAGACCTGAAGGTAAGGGATTTGTTCCTTGCTTATTGTTGGTGAAAATACAATTCGAATAATTTGTAGTAGACAGAACAGGTCCCAATGCTCATCCTTATCAGGAACACATTCACCAATTAAGAAAGGAAGATATAGGGATAGACACCACATCTCATTTGCTAACAATGAAGAAGTAAACATAGTAAAGAGATCAACATTTATATGGAGAGCTAAGGACATGATGAGTGAAATTGTCACAGGGCTATTCACAGAGTACAATGCTATGGCATTAGAGAGTGAAATACACTGGAATTGTGCTAAATCAACAATAACTTTATGGCCCATCTGGGACTATATCCCAGCATGACACTTGGACATCAGATAGACTAGTTTTATTTCATAGCTGACAAATTATTCCAAAATACATCTCTGACTGCAGTTTTTGAATGCATGGAAGTCAAGCTGTTTCATGTCAAATAATGTACATAATGGAATTCCTAAAAATAAGTTATGTTAGCTGTTTAGGCAATTTAAACCTTTATCGGCAGCAAAGGTTGTTTTTGAAAACTGAAATATACCAGTTGCAATTCACAAACAAATCATAAAACTATTTTAGAACTGAAAGGATGTGACAAATAATACAGTGTGTCCTATACTTATATATATTTTGAAAATGTTATATTTCAATTTCCTCTCATATGAACAACCATGCAGTGTAATTATTATACAGTAACTATAATATTTAATGCTCACCATGCTGTTTTAGATTATGATCATCTGAAAACAGTTTCTGTCTCAATATCTTAGCAGGCTTATTTGATGCATTATGGTATCCATTTTCGAATGAAACAATTCTCTTATTCAATTCTTGCAGTGTGAGGAATTTCTTTTCCATAATGTAGACCTTCAACACTTCCTTTACACAGTACTGGAGCACTCCTTCAAGGATATCATGCATTGCATCTTGAGGAAGACCACCAATGACATGGAAGTATCTTGAATCGTTTAGCAAGGATCGCCTGTTTAGGCCGTAGCTTCTGCTGAAATAGTCTTTGAGTTCACGATTAAGTCTTTGGCACTGCATTTCAATGATTTTCTCTTGTTCGAAGGGTGAAAAAACTTTCCAGGAACTGATAATTCATTAAAGATATACAGTAGACATATTATTATGCACTGTTCAATGCTGGCATGGAATTTTTGTGCGACTATTCAAAAGTTTGAAGCGTAAATTTGATCACCACTATTATCTTGGTGTTAAAAAGCATATACCTGTACATTCAGTACTGTAAGTTAATTGTAAAGTTATTATGTTGTTGTGGTTTTTTGAACTTGTGTGTTATATACATTACTTGTGCCATACAGTTTGTTGTCCAGTAAGCGGCCAGTTCGGCTTAACTCCACTATAAATTCATAATAATGCGGCTTAATGATCTTAAACCTTCTCAGCAACACATAAACTTAGTTGTACGTGTTGTACACGTAAACTCGTAAATTCTGCCCTTTGCCTTTCTGAAATATTTAAAATGATAAGATGTAACTTTTCTGCCCAGTATGCCGCCACGTATCCCAATAACCGGCCAGCTTTATTATGTAGGCTTCAATAAGAAAAACCTGCAAATGTAAGTTTGTTTGCCTGTCTTGAACCTTTCTCGAAGTTATATCTTTAGCAGAGATCATATTTATGTCGGGGTCACACAGTAAAAATCATCTTTTTTGTTGGGGAGGTTTTAGAGGGATAATTTAGCCCAAACACTTAAATTTCATGCTTACATTAAAAAATAAGGAGCCAATAAACACAAAAAATCGTTTATTTAATACAAATTTATTTGCAATACAGTTTTTTCTTCCATTTTTTGAATAGCTTCATCAACCTGCTTAAATATACCATCACAGACATTGGAATTATTCAGTTGTATTCTATATGAACACGGAATTACTGCTCCTCCTCCTTGTGCATGCTGCGGTGGCCAAGGATTAAAGCTTTTGCAGGGATTTCCTGTTTGTTCACTGAAACAAACAACACAAATTGCATATTACATTTAACATGTTAGTTAAGGCCTAGATGCCTCTTCTTTACAAGTAAAATCATCTGGCATTAGACCAATTAATTAACAAAGCAGGGGAGTCCAGGGCACATTGGGCCTTAATGGCCTAAACGCAATTCTTGACAATGATATTATACAATATTAAATGCCTCAACACTGATGGTATTTGATTATTTAAATATCACACTCATCTGCATTGTGAGGTTTGATAGAGTTCATCTAAATTTATCAAACAAGCATGTGTAATTGTCACATACCACTCAATACAGCCCACTTCAGAATTTTCAAGCAGAGTCCAAAAACATTCCGAAAGCCCCCTGGGGACTCGACCAATGGGCAAGCCCGCAATAGTCCTAACTCGCTCTCCTCGTTTTTCATCTGTTACATGATTCCATAAATCTCTTGGGATATTGTCTATCTCAGGGATCCAAACCAAACACGAATGTGGATCATGATGGTTTCCATACTCTTTGGTGACAGGCAGCAAAATATTTGGAGGTGGTTTTATTTGGAATTCGTGGTAACCTTTAATGACAGCGTTATTGATGACAATAAGACGCATGATACCTGCTACGACACCGCGGAAATTGGTATAGGCTTAGCCGCAATTCTCGATACTTAGACTTCAAACTTGGTGAGGAAAAAGATTTATAAATATTCAAGAAAATATGTCTTGCACAAAAGATTTGAAGCTTGCTCACAGTAAAAACGAATCGTCTGAATTAATAACCTTGTGTATACTTTAAGCCTCAAAATGGCCATTTCACAGCGGTCAGATGTGTATGATGAGCTGTCAAAAGATTGCAGAATGCGTATTCAGAAGAAAAATTGAACTTTTTTAAGATATTCAAAAGGTTTCTCTTTGATAGGGCGATACAGAAATGCACAATTGTGAACCAGCGATTAGATTTTCGGGTTGAAACGTCTTAAACACCAATTTCTGCAGTGTCACCTGCTACAAAGACAAAAACTCAAAATAGTACTGGCTATATATAGCTACAACGATTCTGAAAACGGTCGCCAATACTTTGCATTGTTTATATTTAAAGTTTTAAAGTAAAGTAAGCATGTTACCCAAAGAGGCTGGTTACTGAAACAAAATTTGAAAGTTTAAGGTAAGCCATTACATCTATAAACAAGTGTGATTCCTTGCTTAATAATTTAACAATTAAAAGATTAGTGCAAGTTGACACTTCTCAAAAGAGATACGCATGCATGGGATGTACACTGTACCTAAAATGAACATGTCATTAATAAGGCTTCTCAAAAGTTACACTGATGGCAATAGAATGGTTCATCAGAGTGTAAAATGTCAATGTCAAATTCAAAAGGAACGCATTCTATGTGCATCCACAATTTGCAGGAGTCGTACATGACCCATGGATTGTTTTCGTCATCTATGGATAAATATTCCTCTGAGCAAACACTACAGATGTTCTCATCGATGCTTTCATTCCCAAATGTAAGGCAAGTTCTTTTCACTTTCCTACGTTTTCTCCCATCACTTTTATCAGAATATTCACTTTTCTTTGCTTCCTTAACACTATCCCTTTTCCGTTTCTGTTCTTTCGTTCTTTCTCTTTCTTTTTTCTTCTTTTCCTTTCTTTTTTTTTCATCTTCCACTTTCTTCCGCTTCTCTTCCTTTCGTTCCTGACTTTCCTTTAATCTTTTCTGTTTATCTGCTAACTGTCGGGCTTTCTTTAATTTTTCATCCAGAAGAATTTGTTTGGATGCCAGACCGCTAATAAAGTTTGGTATGGTTCTTTTCACATTCACTCTTTTAGGCGAGACCTTTGGTTCAAGATTTGGGTATGTAAGGATTTCTTAAAAGAAAAGAGTGGAAATCCTAGAAAGTTCTGGGACTGTATTAAAAATATATTCCCAAGCAATTCAGCCAAGCCTGTGCCGTCACCTTTGTCTAAGGAAGATGCTAAAGCTCGTGTAGAAAACTTTAGTTATTATTTTAAAAATGTTATCTGCTCATTAAAGGACAAGGCAATCCCACTTGTTGATTGTGCTTGGAGATACATCAAGCCACCCTCTGTTAGGACTGAAAAGAGATTTGTCCTTAGTTGCGTATCAAAGGTAAAAATTGAGCATGAACTTCGATCGTTAAAGCGTACTAAGGCTACTGGTATTGACGAATTCCCACCTGGAATGCTCAAAGACTGTGCTAAATACATCTCTGGCCCTTTATGCTATGTTATTAACTTATCAATCAAACGCGGAATGGTGCCCACACTCTGGAAGATTGCAAAAGTTGTACCGATATATAAATCCGGAAACGTCGAATTATTGGAAAACCATCGACCTATATCAGTTCTGCCAGTATTGTCAAAGGTTTTTGAGAAAAATGTCCATAAGCAACTGATTGACTATGTTGAAGAAAATGATTTGCTGAACAATTGTCAGTATGGTTTCCGAAAACATCGTTCAACTAAGTTAGCTGCTACGCTGCTGTGTGATGATATACGACGTGAGATGGATAGTGGAAAATTGGTGGGAGATGTTTACATTGACCTCAGTAAAGCCTTCGATACCATTGGCCATGGTATTTTGTTGAAAAAGCTGGAATCTTATGGTATTATTGGTAATGAATTAGCCTGGTTCACTGATTACCTGATTAACAGAAATCAGATAGTTGAGATTAACAACGTACGCTCCGATAAAGAGCCCATTTTCTGTGGTGTTCCCCAGGGCTCAATTCTTGGGCCCTTACTTTTCATCATATTTTTTAATGATATTGCGGACAGTTTACAACATTCAAAGGTGATTACATATGCCGATGATACTGTTATCTATTATTCAAGCAAAGATGTGAACGTGATTGAAGATATATTAAACATGGAAATGGAAGGCATTGGAAATTACTGTATGGAAAATGAACTTTTACTAAACCTTAAGAAGGGGAAAACAGAAGTAATGTTATATGGAACATCTAAGAGGATTGGTAAATTAGGAAATCTCAAAATCCGGTATCAAAACTCTGAAATATCTTTTGTGAACAAGTATGTTTATCTGGGCAATACAATGGATAGTCATTTACTTATGAACTTCAACTTTGATTGTGCATACAAAAAGGCAAGTGGACGTCTAAGATTGTTGCAAAGGGTCAGAAAGTATCGAACGGTTTATGCAGCAGAAAAGATTTTTAGGATGATAATACTTCCCGTATTAACTTACAGTAGTACAATGAAAATGACCTTAACAGAAACACAAATGAATAAGTTAACATCACTTCAAAATCGCGCAAAGAGCGTCATAGGTAAAAGTGTACCAAACATCATTGACGTCATCAGAAGCGAATCTTGCCTGCTCGTGAGGAAGTGTTTAGAGAAGGAACTACACAACCCAATATTTGACTAGTATTTTACAATGATCAGTCATGAGAAGAGAACCAGAAACAACAATAACATGTTGAGATTACCACAGGTAAAACTAGAGGTAGCAAAACAAAGTTTTTATTTTGGTGGAGCAAAATTATACAACGCTCTGCCATTAAATTTAAGATTAGTGGGAACTTTGGAAAATTTTAGGGAGGCTTAAAGGAACATTTCAATTCTGTAAATTAATTTGTTGTATTTTACTACTGATATTTTATACTTTTTAATTAGTTCATTGTAATTGAAGATATAGCTAGGTCTACAGGACAAACGTTGATAGCAGTTTTCACACTGTATTTTATTGTATAAATATTGTGTAGAAACTGAAGTTTTTATCCTGTATAAAGATTTAGTAATAATAATACGTTGCATTCTGAAGAGTTCGATTTGGTAGATGAAGATTGTTGTGGCTCGATCGTTTTTTCCACGGGCTGAGAAGTTTCTGCTTCTCTGTCTTTATGAAGATATGATGGGTTTGCTGACTTGTATAGCTTCTTCCAAGTGCAAAAAGTGGGACTTCCGTCCAAGTCTTACTCTTCCTCAATTCTACGCCTATATTTGGCCCGTGACGGAGTTGAAAGTGCAGCATCCAGTGCCTCAAATGCTTGCATTGTGGCAGATGCACTAGCTTTGTCAACCCGTTGGTCGGTGTCACACGATTGACTAGACGGATCCAGTAACCCCTTCGAGACTTCTCTCTTATCAAGTGGATAAATACCAGCTTTACGAAATGCAGCTGTAAGAATGGACGGGCACATGACATCTTCCCACGTAGACTTTAAGACAGAACAAAAGTTCTTCTTAGTGATATCCGCATTGGGATTTCTCTGCGTATATTCCCGTACTGATTTATACCAGCTTCGTTTCATACTGCCAAATAATCCAACGTCAGCAGGCTGGACAATATGCGTTGCATTTTTCAATAAAGCGTATAAGTAAATGCCGTTTTTCTCAGCAAGTTCAAAGGTATGTAAATCAAGGTGGGAGTCAGGACTATCCACAAGAAGGAGCACGGGTCTTTTCAGTGGTAAGTTAGGAATAAAGTGATTTGCTAGCCACATATAAAACGTTTCAGTGTGCATATAACCTGACTCGGTCATGGAGTAAACACTGCCATCTACTCCTCCTTCTAAAGGATTATAAGTAGTGGGAATCCGTTTTCCAGGGAAAATAAAATAAGGGGGCATCCATTGCCCACTAGCATTGAAACAGGGGAGCATTGTAATACGCTCCCTATTTCCAGACATTACTTGATACGGTGCTTCTTTTTGCTGAGAGGGACCAATAACTTTTCCAACTCGGCCATTCAAGTCAAATCCGGTCTCATCACAATTCCATATCTGGCCAGGTTGGTCAATCAAATCTTTTTCTAGCAAGAACTGTTGGTACTCAGAAAACCACTTATCTACATCTTCTTGAGTGATTCTCGCCCTTTTCTTTTCTATAGGTGTTGCTTTTCGAACCTTTACTTGAGGATTTCTCTTCATATAACTACGAAACCATTTGTTTCCGGGTTTATTGTTTTTAAATGGTGTAGATCGGCCATCCTTGTCTAAAAAATTCTTCACGGTTTGTAAAAAATTACTCTTTGACTCACCAAACCCATGGTTAGACATTTGGATAAGTCACTCTGCCATTTGAGTTTCCTCCATTTCTGTTAAAATCGGCAGGGGACCTTTGCGCCTGTTGTGTGTGTGTGCAACTTCCCATTAACTCCAGACTGCAGTGCTGTTCTTTTTAAACCCCATTTCTCAGCAGTTTTCCTTGTACTTAATCCTCCATCATTCACATCTTTCATTGCCCTCAAGTATTTTTCTGATACAGTATTAGTTACATTAGAGACATTTGCTCCGATTTGGCGTGCCATCCGTGATCATGAATATAAATTTTGTGACACAAACATGTGGCTATATAAAAAAAACAATTACATTTTTTTCCATGCACATATTAAATTGGAATGTAATTATATATGAAATTTTGTTATACTTTTTTTTGACACATTGTCACATATAAATTTTTCAGAATGTTAATTTACTTTTTGGTAAAATTATATATGGGGGTATTCAGTCAGTTGTGATGTTGATTTTATTTTGACATCATAAGAGTATATGAACATAAGAGCACGGAGCAGGTATAGATTATTCAAATACAAACCAATTGTATCTATTCATAACAGTGCACCCATTATAATTACAAAGCACTTATTCAACCACTTGTCCTTGGAATCCCCAGAAAACTAAGGTCTGGTGTGGAAGATGACTGCACTTTAAGGGTTAAGGTTAATATACCTATTTGTTACCAGAACAAATTAGGATCCCAAGTATAATAGCATTTGCAACCACATAAGTATAAAATAACACAATGTTGAACTGCATGTGCTTTCAACAGGTATAGCATCATACTTAGTATTTTGCCTCCATCTCACTTGAATGGATATTTAACAAGTCTTGTAGATGAAATTGATTGAATGAAAATTGATATATATTTATTATACCTAACCAGGAACAACTGGGTTAATGCAACTACAGCTCCCTTACGGGAATCAAACCTGCTGGACCCAGTAAACCTGCAATTTACAAGGCAGCAGTTTCAATTCCTGATACCTGTACTTTCATTTTCCACAGCTGTTCTATGCATGATGTCTGTTACAATCAATGGGTGTATGAAAGGGGAGACCATGAGTATTCACCCCATGCCTGGGGGTACACAAATCATGGGGGAAATTTTAAAATCAAAAGATTATGTAGTGTTTCTACATGCCTATGGATACTTTTTTCATGAGGCAATGAATAATGATCTTGTTATGCTGTTTTTTCATTAGAAATGTTTCATGGGAAAGGGACTCAAGAGTTTCTAATTGAAACTGCATTAACATTTGCAGCCCCATTATGTAAATCATAAAATAGAAAATATTTATAATACTAGAGCTAGTAACCTTCTAAAAACCATAAGGCTTTAATAACTATAATTTCTATATAAAAATAGCCCACTACTCAAATAAGTCTGATTCCTCCGCAATAAATGGAAAATGTTATAAAATTACCCACCGATAAGCCCCCAAAATAAAAAGGTGCCTGAAAATATAAGCTTCCAGCCTTCCAAGGTTGTTTCATATTTTTGACGCTTGAAATATATAAACCTTTAAAAATATGTAAATTATATTGAATGAAATCCGTCTGTAAGACAACGACCGACATTCTATTGTGTTGACCGTATAATGGAACTGGAACTCAGAAATTGAGCAATTTTTAAATCAAATGTAACCTGAGAAACTAACGCAACTTAATAAATTATTAATGATTTTACGTATCTCTGACCTTTGGTCTTTTATTTGTATTATTCATGGATACTCGCTATAGAAATTTTTTACAAAATAATAGGTTTATTTTGAATGAAATTGTTTACTATGTTGTAAAAGAGCCGACAATTTGTTGATCTTAATCAGACTCACCTGCAAACGTTGATTGTTGTAAAGAGAAATAAACAGTTTGAAACCTGCCAAAATTATAATCCATATAAGGAGACGTTCGGCTTCGCGTCGGAAATATTTCATTCGAAGTTAATCGACTATTTGACAATGAAATTCAGAAATAATTTTGTTTTGGCCGGAAACTGGTACAGGCCGAATACCGGGCAACAAACTGTATGTATATGTTAGTCTGAGTGGAACCAACTGTGCAAGCTGAAAATGCTTTACTGTGCTGGAACCCAAACCCACACACTTTAAGTACCTTGGTTGAGCATTTTCAGCCTGCATTGTTGGTTCACTCTGTGTACATCACTAGCCAAGAGTAATTGTATATAAGTAATTCTTTTTAGTAAGAGAAACTTGACACCAGTCCTATATTAATTCTTAAAGCTTGATACACTTAATTTACCCTCACTGGGCTGAGTGAGAGTCTAAAAATCACCCTATATTTATTCCATGATGGTATTTCCAGTGGACTTGGCTTGGTTTTGAGTATTTTACTCGAAATCTTTCCATTAGTTGAGGAAGGGATCAGTAACCACTGACCTGTAGGAGCATGACCAATGTCATACTTACAGTAATGAATGTGAGTTAGCTTTTAGAATACAGGTGAAAGTCTTGGATATACATTAATTTGGTTAAATCTTGAAGAAAGAAATACCTTTGATATTAATTCCTCCATGGTTGTCATACATTCTCTGCACTTTCTATAGGCTTGTGCCCCTTCTTTAAAACCACCCATCTGCTGTGAACCCAGGTTGTCTCCAGAGGCATAGGCTATAGTCCCTCTAAAATTCCTCATTTGGCCATGGATGTTAAATGCATACCCCTCATCCTTTAGAACAAAAGAAAAAAACAATGAATTGCAGATTTATATGTTATCATTTTAGCTGTTAATTAAGTTAATTAAATATTTTTATTTAATAATATACCTACATTACCTGTTCCAGTAACCTGATATCATTGATCAAGACCTCTAGTATTCTATCAATGCCATACTGTTTAAGATGGTTACTATTCACTATCGCAAAGAGTTGAATAGATCTGTAACTGGCTCGCTTATTAGGAGATATATTTCCAAGAGTGTAATAGAAGTTACCTTAAAGGAAGATACTGTATCATATAAATATAGTAAACATAACATGAGACTTAATGTGTTAATTCCTGCTATATCTACTATATTATTGAATGTTGAGCAATTAGTTACAGTACATAAATGTACAATATCCCATATTTTGACTGGCAGGCAGTTACTGCATAAATTATTGCGACCAGCGAGCGAGCACTAGCGAGAGAGCTGGGAGCACTCTAATCTGGGTAGAAAAGAAAAATATATCACTGGCTCGGATTAGCCTTTGACAGGATTCACACCAGCTCAGAAATTCGCATTCCATATTTGGGAACGTTTTCTATATATGGAATTTCATTCCGCATGGAATGATGTCGATGGAAAACGGTCTTTTCTTTGGAAAAACTTGTCAAACGTGTGCAAAGGTTAGAAATATATTTACATAATTTTGAAAATTATTCACATGTAAGTACTGTATTCAAAGCTCTTTTTGTGTGGGTAAATATTTACTTGTGGCATAGAGTGGCATAGGTAATTGTACTAGAAATACATGCATGCAGCAACCCCTCGCTATTTCAAACCAAGTACACAATTTCCTGAGTTAACCTGACCTAAACTTATATTATGAAATGACACAAAACTCAAATCAGTCTTAAAGTTTCCATCATTCAATACAAAAATAATCACAAAGCTAGTGTAAACATTGCCCGTTCAATTTTGCTGCATTATACCATGCCAGCAATTAAGTAACGGTTTAAAATCGAAGTTTCAAACGATTAAAACAGTACAAAATCTTCACAGACAAAGAAAAAACTTCAAATGTTATTTTATTCTGTAATTGCAGTCAACGCCGGAGGCTAAAAGTTTCAGTATACTTTATAAATATAGTGTGTATTTTTGATACCAAAATTCAAATTACACTTTCAAAAACACTTTTTGAAGTTAAAGCAAAGGTGTAATAGCCCTTCACAGGTTTATGCGTTTGCAGAAAAAGCTGAAAGTTTAACAAATGAATGGCATACAAAGCTGAAAAGTATACAAATACGGCTCATTCTTACCGCGAAACAAGTACGAGATAAACAAAGTAAACACGTACCCTTTGTCTTTGAAAACATTTATAAGCTTGCAGATTATGAATTATTCCTCTTACACGGCTTTGTTTTGACTGTATCCAGGTTCATCTTTGCTATCTGTCATGCTTCATATATCTTGTTTATTCTCGTTTTACTTTCTTTGCACAAAGTTTATGAAACGCTTTTACAAAAATGTTTACGAAATGACAGTTAAATTGCTGACGTTCTCATTGAAATACAAACTTTCTGTCTTAGCCAATCAGAACGTTCGTTGATTACCAGTCTACACTCGTTCGCATTTCACGCATGCGCACAAGTACCATGACCATTGAACGTCCACGGTCCACGACATAAAATTTGAGCAACTTTGGATTCCGCTATGTTCTGTCACAATACCCGGGTGTAATAAATCTCCCAGCGGAATTAGTACCCTCGCACGGCGCTTCGCGCCGGCTCGGGGAAAAGTCGTGTGTTCGAAATCGAGACGACTATTCAAAAATCAAATTGCCAATTTTGGCAAGAACGACTATTCAAAAATCAAATTGTCAATTTTGGCAAGACCAATTGTGGTTTGTCCAATGTGGACTTTTAACTAAAAGAAACAAAAAAGCATTTGCATAATAGTTCACTTCTTATGAAATTTATGTTACGTGTTCATCTATAAAGTGCGAATGAGCAATAATATACTCTGTCTCCAATATGTCAACTTTTACGAATCAAAATGCCGAAAGTATAAATGATTTATTACTTCGTCTGAGAGAAAGGTTAGCGAGAAAAAATTTACAACCATATGATGTTGGCGGATCAGGTGACTGCTTCTTTAGATCGGTTTCTCACCAGCTGTTTGGTACTCCAGATTGTCATTTAGAAATACGTTTAGCAGGGGTTAATCATTTAGCAGAAAACCCTCAGTATTATATTGAATTCAATGCTCATGATTCCTGGTTAGATTATTTAACAACAATAGGAAAAGTTGGCGCTTGGTGTGATAACATCATTAATCAAGGAACAGATATGAGTAGTTTCTTACCTATTCCTGAGAGTGAGCAAAAAGAAATTTACACATAGCAGAAGGGAAAAAGGCTTCTGAAACAGTATGTCAGTATGTTGGCTGGTTGCTATCTACTTATAACCCAAATTCTCCAGATAATGGTGTGTGGATAAAACCCAATATACATCCTTGTCAAAAACGATCTGATGAAATAAATGCTAAAGATTCCGATTCAGACTATGTCGATTTATTAAATACAGTGCAAAGACACACTCGCTGTAGTGCAAACTATTGTCTTCGAAAAAAACAGAGTTAAAGTGAGTTCAAATGTAGATTTAAATTCCCATTTGAAATATGTAACAAAACCAGACTAGAATTTGAACCAATTCATAAAAATAATGGCAATGCATGTCAATATAGGGCTAAGATTACAACAAGAAGAAATGATAGCAGGATCAATAACCATTAGCGCATCCAATTACAAGGTTGGAGAGCAAACTGTGACATTCAGGTGGTAATTGATTACCATGCATGTATAGAGTACCTTTCAAAATATGCTTCTAAAGGAGAACCAAGATCACAGGTATTAAAAGATGTTTTTAGCTCTATTGTTCATAATTGTGCAAAAGATGTTAATCCACTCAAACTTATTAAAAATGTAATTATGAAGTCATTAGGACAACGTGACTACTCTGCACAAGAGGTAATGCATCACCTATTATCACTCAAACTGGTTAGTTCTTCCTTTAAAGTTATACCAGTAAGTCTTTATGGTTCACGTGGAATAAAAAATAATCCTGAAGATAGTGATTGTGTAACAAAAGATTCTCTTCTTGATATGTATGCAAAACGTAAGAATTATACCCAAAACTTTTCAAATATTGATTCCTTGAATTTTATTACATTTGCTACAAAATACAAAATTGTGAACAATAAGATTGTTAATTAAGCAGAAAATATTATTCCAAGAACATTTCCAGTGTTCTCATCCTCTCCTAAAAGTCCAAATTTTGGACTTCACTGTAAGTGCCAATTACTGAAGTATAAACCTTGGCACACAACCCCGGACAATGCTTGGGATGATCAGCCAGGAACTGATGAAATATATATTATCGAATGGAAGAGGTTTCTAGAAACACAATTTGCAAAAGAAAATGTTCCAGATTGGTCTGACAAAATAGATTTGTTACAGAACCAAGCTAATTGTAATGACAATCAGGAATCTACACCAGAATCTTTTGAAAGAGAAGAATGGATGTATTTAGCAGATCTTATACCTGGGCGGTTTGTTAATACTGATTTACCAGCTGCTAGTCAACCTGATTTTGTCTGGCAAAATGACAAATGCAACTACACTGACACTGAAATAGCAGAAATGCCCTCCTGGATTAAAACTCAAAAGGAAAGTTTACCTTGCGATAATGCTAGAAACCAAACATTGGTCAATATTGGTACTTTTAGTGATATGCAAAGGTTGGCATACAATATTATTAGAAGCCACTCGCAACAGCACTGCCCTACACATCCATTGTTATTAATTATTATTGGTGATGCTGGTACAGGCAAAAACTATCTTATTCATGCCGTCAGAAATCTACTTCAAGCATGCTGTGCAATTACTGCCTCTACTGGTAAAGCTTCGTACAACATTGGAGGCTGTACTATTCACTCTCTCTTACAACTACCAGTTGGCCGAAAAGGTGATAAAGACTTAAGTGGACAGAATCTTCTCAGGTTGCAAGAAAATTTAAACGATATAAGGTATATTCTTATTGATGAATATTCCATGCTTGGCCAAACAATGTTTGGCTGGCTAGATAGACGGTGCAGACAAGCCACTAGTATTAGTCATCAACTTTTCAGTGGCAAGTCCATTATATTGTTAGGTGATCCTGGTCAGTTACCACCAGTAGGTGATAAACCTTTATACCATGCTAGACCATCTGGTTCTCTTGGAGAACAAGGTCATGCAGCTTTTTTCATGTTCACAAACGTTGTTAAACTTACAGTAAATCAGAGAGTTCATGGCTCAAACCCTGACCAAATTAAGTTTAAGGACTTATTAAGTCGTCTACGCACAGGAGATTCTAATGAGCAAGACTGGGAGCTTCTTCTTGCACGTCAGCCTTCCAACGTCAACAATTTGGCTGAATTTAAATCTGCTACACGACTCTACTTTAGCAATGAAGAAGTTGCAGCTTACAATTTTGAACAGTTACTAGCCCTACACCAGCCAATTGCATGTATAAATGCACTTCATTCTAGTGAAAAAGCTAAGAAGGCAACTGCTGATGAAATGTCAGGATTGCAACCTACGGTTTTTCTTGCGAAAGGTGAACGAGTTATGCTAACCATGAATTTATGGACAAATGTTGGTCTATGTAATGGTGCAACTGGAACAGTTGTAGAATTTATTTTTGCTAACAATCAATCTCCTCCTAACTTACCAGTGGCAGTTATAATACAGTTTGATGACTACACGGGTCCAACTATCAGCAATAATAGCGCTGCATGTGTACCAATAACTCCAATTTCAGTTACTTCACAATGCTTAGATGGCGTAAATGAGAGACAACAACTTCCACTTAAACTTGCGTGGGCTATGACAATTCATAAAAGCCAAGGGTTAACTTTGCCAAAAGCATGGATAAATATTGGTAAAACAGAAAAAACTGCAGGCATCTCATATGTAGCAATCAGTAGAGTAAGAACACTTTCTTCTTGCATCATTGAACCAATGACATTTCAACGTCTCACAAGTCTAAAAAGGTCTAAAAATTTAAAATTTAGGCTTGAAGAGGAAAAACGCCTGGAGAGTCTCTATGAAAACACAGTTCAAAATGGAATGTTGTAGTATATATTGTTCTTTTTCAAATCACTTATCAAAATTATTGTCACTTCATTAAGAGTTTATCACCTTCACAGCCAGTCTTTGAATACAGGCTTACTATAATTTATGTGTATCTAATAAACCTATGGCAGGAAAAGGTTCATCAAGTACAGTAGTAGCTGCAGACAATATATAGCTTTAATTGTATATTGATTAACTATTATCTTCATGTATACACATAGTTACTCCATGATGTAGATGAACATTCTACATCTCATCTATTTTATCTTCTCTTATTCATTTACTCTCAGGAATATTGTCAAATTCAGTATGGCTTACGGTGAGTCTATACAAATCATAAGAAGTAAACCAAGTTTATTGTATTTTATTCTCGTCTTATTAGCTCTATACCCCAGTATATCTTTTTTTTATATAACTTATTGCTTTTCATTTGTCTTGCAGATTTAAAAAACAGCGAAGAAATGGCACCAATTGGTAAATATTAATTCTCATTTGTTGTAATATTGTCAATTATTAGAGTATATATATAGATATATAGATATATAGATATATAGATATATAGATATATAGATATATAGATATATAGATATATAGATATATAGATATATAGATATATAGATATATAGATATATAGATATATAGATATATAGATATATAGATATATAGATATATAGATATATAGATATATAGATATAGGTATAGATATATATAGATATATATAGATACATATATAGATATATATAGATATATATAGATAATTACTTTAAAACATGTTATTTTTATAACATTAAAGACAAGACAGACTTAAAAATTCAGTTCAGATGATGTTGATATTCTATTTGTCCCCTATATAAACGCATTGATAACCTACATATAACTTATGGGCAAGTGATTAAATTTCCAGTGGACAAAAACATCCAATGCATTCATACTTATTCCCTCATTAACCATCTTATTACAAATGCTTGGTTTTGGTGTGGTGGATATCACTTGTTCTTGCAAGCCTCAGAAACTTTACTTAAAAACTTTAAAAAACCTGGTCGCTCCAAACAATGCTTTTACTTATAATAAGACTTTTTTGGATACATCCAAAACAAAAGTATTGCTAATTTATTATAAATCTTTAATTACTAATTTATATATTTATACCTTTTGTAGGCATTGATCCAAACAGAATTGACTGCTTTGTCCCCCAAGTTTCGCCGATCAAAAATTCTGGCAAAACGAAGTATTTTGATTGCAAACTTCAAACAAGAACCAGTGTTGTAAAAGGTGTATGTTTCAGTCCAGAAAAGCGAAAGAATCTCGAAGAACTCATGCGCACTTGTGAAGCCGCAACATTAACCAAGTGTGAAGTCAGCAACAAGTTCAACGTAACCAACATCGTTATCAACAAGAAGTCCAATATCCAAAAGTGCACAACTCCCCTCAACTTCGAACGTGTTGACATAGAAAATACAACAGTCAAACTGTCAACGGTAAAATCTATCCAGCTTGGCCAACTTATTAATGTAAAGGCTTACGTTCGTCAAGTATCAGGCTCTAAAGTCATTTCGACTTCAGCAGGTGTCCGACTTAAAAAACAAGAAGCCATTCTAGCCGATCCATTTGGCTCGATCAAGATACTTCTCTGGGAGAACTTTGTTGACAGTATTGAAACGGGAAAAACATACCTGTTCAAGAACATACGATTGAAGAAAGATAACTATAATAATGTCGTTTATGTCAACACAGCGAAAACCGGTAGTGAAATCAATGATGCAACACCATTTGACCAGCCACTAGCTGAAGAATCTGACGATGCACAAGTTACCATTCTCTCTACCAAAGAAATAACTGCGAATGTTATTGGTGTCGCGAACATAAATAGCCATCGCACATGTTCTTCTTGCAATAAAGCCGTAGAACAAAAAGGAAATATAGCAAAGTGCTCATCGTGCAACCTCACGCAAAAGCTAACCAAAACCAACAGGTGATGGTATGTTAAGCTATTCTTCCAGGATGCAATTGATCATTCCATTAAAGTGCATCTTTCACTCTACCACACTATGATTGTGAAGTTCTTAAAGTAGCCCATATCGAAGTGGATCTTGATCTTTGTGACGAGGAGGAGCTTACGCTTGCTTTGCTTGATGGGACATGCGTCACATTAGCCTATGATACTACTGGAAAAGTTACCGATGTAACTTCTACTGTATAAACCTTGAGAAAGTTTCAGAACTTTGTGACAATATAATGCTATGAACCGCTGTCAAAGTTACCGCTGTAACGACATTACGACATTTTACCACGTATTGTTGCATTATATTTACTTATGTTAAAATTAAAGTTACTTATGTTTGAATGTTGACATTTAGTTTCAATGAATGGTATACTACTCGAAAAGTTACCGATGTAACTTGTATGTACTGTATAAACATCAAGAAATTTTCAGAACTTTTTCCAATACGGTATGGACCGCTGTAACGACATTTTACTATGTATTGTTGCATTATATCAAGTTGTGTTAAAATTAAAGTTACTGTTATGTTTGATGTTCAAATTTACTTTCAATGAATCAGTACAGTCGCAGTGGCTATTATAGTCGCTACTATCTAAAAAATACCCGCCCTATTACGTGTGGTGTATGTTTCAAATAACGTTGCTTTCGATTTGTATATTTCTATTAACACTTGTTTACAACAGTTTATGGCAAGATAATTAGGTCGCACTTTTAACCTGTGGTTACTCCTAGTATAGTTACAGAATTTGCATTGGAAGTTCCTGTTGGCCTGCATGCACCTAGGATCAGCCATGATGAATTCAAGGTTTTTTAGTGGGAGCTGACATAATATAATTTGTGCATAGCATATTACAATACACTCTGATGATAATTAAGTCATGCCAGTGCTGTAGAAGTAAATTTTTCAGAGGGGTGGGGGGGGGAATAGGCTCTCTTGATGGCAACGAAATCATAAAAACCAGCATTTAAGTCGATGATGTCACCAATTTCTAACAATAAATGATAGAAGACACCTAGAAATCGATATAGAATAATGCATTGTTTGTTGTGATAGCTCTACTGTACTATTAAGTAATTATCACTGTATGAGCTCTCCCAAAGGTTCAAGAAAGGGGAGCACCACAATCTTCTACAGCACTGCATCACATGTCATATTGTTTGAAGTTGACATTTCTAGGATGATACTTCGTTTCATTTACAATCAATTCTCCCCACCCTGGTAGTACAGTTTTATAGTACATACATACAGTATAGTTATCAAAGCCTGAAGATTTATCACATAACATACCCAGTTTGTGAATGTTTGCTCTTGAACCTAGAGGGTTACAAATCTCCAATTCATCAAAGAAAAAAAGTATTTGCAATGCAAGAAAGTCTATGCTAAAGAGTGGATGCCTTTTGAAGTCCTCTGCATCACAATAATCACTCATCAAGTCATCAGTTCTGTTATGAGGGTTTTCAATCTTGAAAAATGAAATAAATGACACATAATTACAACATTTCTGGTTTTTAATAGATGTATAAAATTCCAAAAGTTGAGTAAGAAGTTGGTATCTATCTGAATGTTGGCATATGAAGGATTTAAATCCTGGATTTATTTCATTTGTTATTCTCCTTTGTTGACAACTTAGTACATACACTAGATAAACTTGCTTTCTGAGAGAGCTAGGGATCATGGGATGGTACAGGTATTTAGGAAATTATTAGCCATGGGAATTAGAAACATATGCATGGCATGTGGCTGCATGCCTGCATATTTGCATGGTCTCTGCAAAATGGGTTGTCATTTTGCAACTCTGTAAATAATACAGAACACGATCTACTGTAAAGTATAATAAAAATCTTAAAATCACCTCTTTCAACACTGAATCATTGTTCAAAAGTTGTTGCAAACTTGCCAATAATGGTATGTAGTAAGCACAATCCTCTTTTAACACATCTTTTACTTTATTCCCCTTCATTGCTTTTGAATGATAACTACCTAAAACAAGTTTTTTAGGTTCCTATAAAATATAAATACACAGTTCAACTCTTGAATTTATATAAACAAAAGACTTTTCTCTTTCCCTTCCCTCATTTCACTTTTCTTGACTCGGGTGGGGGTTAACTTAGGTTAAATTGGTAGTAGTACAACTTTCACAAGTGAGAAAATGGAGTGGATTTACTTGGGGGTAAAATTTAGGGTGTTGGAGGGTGCTAATTTCCATTTCAAGTGCAAGTGTTGAATTTGGCAGGTGATTTATCAAACCAAAACACAACATTGGGCCATTTGGTGCCTTTTCTACAAGACAATGGCCCATGTTAGGGCTCTCAGTGATGATGGGCCCTGCCTCGTTGAACAGTTACACCCTCTTTATGACTAGCCTGCACCTGCCCTCGGCCCTACCCCTGCCAGGCCAGGTTGGAACCATCCTTGGTACTGTGAAATAAGGCAGTTTCTGTACTTCCAATACCAAGTCCTATATTTGGCTAAATATATTTATTGGGTTGTTCGTAGTAATTTACTTACCACTAGGCCAAAATTACTCTTGTAGTACGAGCTTTGTGAAACCTCATTATCCAAATATAGAAAAGGCTTCCTTATTACACTGTCTTCTTCAAAAAGGTCACTTATTTCTGGGATATTTTCCATATCTAATCCTACGTCCTTCATGCGATCTTTTAAGGCAGATTTTAATACATCTACACTATTTTCAACTATTTCTGTTGTATTTTTCACCATATAATCCACAACCGTTTGGGGAATCTTTCCTTCATCTTTTACTTGGAGTATACAGAGAGCGTTCGACCTGGTAAGTTTACGTGCTTCCTTGGCAATGTCAAATTGGTTTTCAATTATCTCTTGATTCTCGTCAAGGTCACCGTTTCCAAAGTTCTCTGCTCCACTGTCATCATCTGTTCGGTCATGTTCAGGACGTATATTAGAAAGCAAATCTGCATGGTTACGGTAGAAATGGCACTTAAGTGAATAGAAATTTCTATAAGTTCGTGAACAACCATTTACCCCACACAGCATGAAACCCGGTGTAGCGGTCTGAGATTGTCACCGTGCTGAGATTGTATTGTCACTACTGCGCATGCTCTGTTTGTTAGTGCGCCTGCGATTTTTACAGTCCGTGCTGAGATTGTATCAATCGTAAGCAATCGCATATTTGTTTAATTGCGAACACGTGTTTTGAAAATTTGGAAGTTATTTTCGGCATTTTTCTGGAGGAATCTTTTGCTCATTGTCATCCTTCTCATTGGTATTTTGTGAATTAAAGATACTTGAAGATTGTGCATTCTACAGGTGAGCATTTTTCGCTAAAATATCTTTGTGTCTTAATATAATGGAGATGTATGAAGTAAGCTTGCACAAGCTGCGCTAAGTGTGTTTATATTGACAGATTCGAATTATATTTGTTACTACAATCCCTATATAGATTCCTTTTTGTTGTAGTTCTCGGAAACGATGCCTGCTAATATTGTTGGTTCGTGCGATATCCTACCTTCTGGCACTTCTCAAAATACTGGTGAGTCTAAACCATCTGAAGAAAAGTTAAGTTCAGAAGAGGCAAGAAGAAGAAGACTTGACTTGCATAAACGTCAGTGTCAGAACCTGATAGAATATCTCAAAACTAAGAAGTGCAGATCAGAGCTGGACAAGAATGAAATCAGGAACATAAAAAACAAAGCTGCGACACATATGTTTGACACCACAAGTAAGTGTTCAAGTCATTGCTTTATGTCCCTATTCTTACTGTCGCTATTACTGACCCAAATCTTTGTCTTGGGTTTACTGCAATCTACATAGTGTAGCAGATTCCATATAGTTATATTTCACAGTTCTTGCTGTAACACAATGGACTTAACTGCTCTTAGAGAATGAGCTGATATACATCGGGCACAAGAAAGATTTAAAGAAGAAAGTAATTATGGAGTTGGAGGAAATCTCGGATATTTTGCACCAATACCACTCAAATCCCATGGGTGGCCATAGTGGAATAAACAGCACACTGGCTAAAATTTCACAATATTACACATGGAATGGTATGAAAGCTGATGTGACTGAATATGTAAGTATATTCTATGGAGAAAACTTCAGTTATAAGTTGTGTGTAGAATAATTCTATAATTTGGGATTGTGGGGTGAATATTAAATAATGGACAACATGATCGATATACATGTATTTTGCAAATCATATATATCCTACTGGTTACATCATTAATAATGTAATAACATCCATGTATTAACATTTCTGGCCACCTTAACAGTGTCAAACTTGTGATCGATGCCAAAGATTTGAAAAAATAAAGACGCAAGCTCCTGAATTAAAATCAATTAAGGTCAATGAACCTTTGGAATTGGTTGGAATGGATCTTATTGGTATATAGATATAATTTATATTCCAATTTATATAGCTTAACAATATCAGGTTTATTGCCTGACAAAATTTTGGCACTTTCAGTTTGTTTTTTATTCTAAGTCCTAATTAATTATGTGTTTTTCTGTTTAAGGACCACTTCCTACGACCTCAGCTGGGTACAAGTATGTTCTGACCTTTACCGATTATTTCACAAAATATGTGAACTTTTACCCATTGAAAGAGAAAGCTGCAGCTGGTATTGCTAATTCTATTAAAACATTTGTTTGCAGGTATGTACTATTATACTATTTATCACACTTTAATATAGGCAATATATTATATTATATGACACTGAGGATGTTAATGTTATTTTGTAGGTGGGGTGCCCCTGCTAGACTTCTGTCAGATCAAGGCAGAGAGTTTGTTGCACAGGTAAGAGAAATAATTAATATATGAGTGTTTATGCGAATTAACAACTACCTTTTCTACCTTTGCTGTTCTAATTTTAGGTTAATAATGAAGTTTGTCAGAAACTCAACATAAAAAGATCCATAACAAGTGCCTACCATCCCCAAACCAATGGTCTAGATGAACGGACAAACCAAACCCTGAAGGTCAGAATATCAAAGCTGGTCAATGAAAGCCAGGATAACTGGGATCAGTATCTGGACGAGGTTGCTTTTTCCATCCGTACCCAAAAGCAAGGGTCCACTAAATATACTCCATTCTACCTAATGTTTGGTCGCCATCCGAGGACCCCAACTGAGGTACCTACAGTACTTATTATATAGATCACTAGTCATCATCCCATTGTTATATACAAATACCAGATTTCTTTGCCTAATGTCTAACAAGTTCATGCAACACAAGATAAATGTTATAAGCTATAACTGTGTACCAATAGTCAATGCTTGTATTTGCAGATGGGGGAAGCATCAGAGGAGATCTCAGATATTACTGGCGAGAAAATAGGAGATGAGGAACTAGATGAAATCATTGAGGCTAGAGCATCTATTATGACCAATATCAACCAAAAGGTTAAGTCTTTTTAACTACAGTGTATAAAGTAGCTGTGATCAAAATAGGGTTAGCATAGACCATTAAAAGACCAGCTCTGAAGTTTTAAGAGATCCAAGAGCCTTCCGTTTGCAATGGTTAAAGTAAGGATGTATGTATTTTTTATCAGGTGAAAGAGAATGTCGAAAAAGCTCAACTGAAGCAAAAGAAGGAGTATGCCAGGAGAAAAGAAAGAGGTGTTAAAGTTTTTAAGCACGCAGTTGGAGACATAGTTCTTCGTAAATGCTTGAAAAACATCGCACGGAAAGGTGGTAAGATGGACTCAATATGGACTGGACCCTACAGGTATGAACCAAAGGTGTTACACAATTCTATCATCTATTATGTACCAATTATTGTTTTTTATATCCTATTTTTGTCAGGATTGTTGAAATAGATGATCATCAAAGGATTCAGCTTGCAAATATTGAGATTGGTGAAAATCTAAAGGTTAAAGTCCCCTATGAACAAGTCCGACCACATGCTACAAGTGAACTTCACAGACCAGCATTGCCACCAGCTTCCAATGATCCCAGACTCAATAGTTTGATGAGCAGCAGAAAGTGATGTAGTGTCTAATCCAGCTCAATTGGAAGATCATCAGACTGATCTCACATCACATCTCACAAGCAACCAATCCAAAGTTGATGACATAGAAGTTGTTGCTCATATCAAGGGCAAAAGAAGAAAAGCAGGTCCTGTGCAAGTAAAGTCAGCGACACTCAAGAAAAATGTGAAAAAACTTGCATTGAACACTTTAAACAAAGGCAAATGGTTAACTGATCAACATATTGACCACGCACAAGCAATGCTAGCAAAACAGTTTGAGCACATTGGAGGCTTGCAAGCTGTTTGTATATTTGTTCCTGATGGCTGTCAGCGTGTTGGTACTCCTGAGAAGAATTTTGTGCAAGTGCTAAATATTGCTGGAGATCATTGGATAGTAGTCAGCAATGTTGGATGTCCAAGCAATTCAGTTGTTATCTATGACAGTCTCTATGAAAACATTAATGCCTCATGTAAGGATAAGTTTTTGCGGCAAATTGCATATATGCTTATGCCAGCATCGAAATCGATGACATTGTTGTGGGCAGATATCCAAAAGCAGAAGGGAAGCTCAGACTGTGGGCTGTTTGCAATAGCAGTTGCCACCAGTCTGTGCTTTGGTGAATTACCTCAAGATTGTGAATGGAGGCAAGAGGAGATGCGTGTTCACCTGTCCAAATGCATGGAAGCTGGAAACATTACACCTTTCCCAAAGGCGAATGCTGACCGAAAACATGAACTGTATAGAAGCAGTGAAGAAATTGAACTTTTTTGTCACTGTAGGCAACCACACCTAAATAATGTTTTCATGATTCAGTGTGAAAATGGTTTCATCGTGGATGTGAAAGAGTTCCAAAAGTTGTTAAAAGGAACACTCTCTTTCTTTGTAAGAACTGTAAATAATTATATAAATGTTATAAATTATATTCATATGTAACAGGAAGATTTTATATACTAGTGGCAAATATATATATATATATTATATAACTTAAAAATTGTATGTGTCAACTTGCTAGTAATCTCAGCACATTACAATCTCAGAACAACATCATCCTAGCATGACAACCTTAGCACAACAGTCTCAGTACAACATTATTTTAGCACAACAATCTCAGCACAACAATCTCAGCACAACAATTTCTTAGCACAACAATCTCAGCACAGCATTATTTTAGCACAACAATCTCAGCACAACATTATCTCAGCACAACAATCTCAGCACAGCATTATTTTAGCACAACAATCTCAGCACAACATTATCTCAGCACAACATTATTTTAGCACAACAATCTCAGCACAACATTTTCTTAGCACAACAATCTCAGCACAGCATTATTTCAGCACAACAATCTCAGCACAACATTATCTCAGCACAACATTATTTTAGCACAACAATCTCAGCACAACAATCTCAGCATACAATCTCAGCACAACAATCTCAGCACAACATTATCTTAGCACAACAGTCTCAGTACAGCATTATCTTAGCACAACAATCTCAGCACAACAATCTCAGCACAACAATCTCAGCACAACATTATCTTAGCACAACAATCTCAGCACAACATTATCTTAGCACAACAATCTCAGCACAGCATTATTTTAGCACAACAATCTCAGCACAACATTTTCTTAGCACAGCAATCTCAGCACAGCATTATTTTAGCACAACAATCTCAGCACAACATTATCTCAGCACAACATTATTTTAGCACAACAATCTCAGCACATCATTATCTTAGCACAACAATGTTAGCACAACAATCCAAGTACAATCTTAGCACATTTTAGCAATCGTAAACAAATACTTTACCATTTACAACAGTGAATTCTTTGACTTCAAGGCACTTAAATGTTCTCAAAATGTCTTTCTGTTTGTATAAATTTGAACTGACAGCAAGTAAGCAACAATTCAAATTAATTAAAAACATTCAAATAACATGATCTGCGTGTATTTTTCCCCGTCACTCGTGTTTTATTCCTTAAAATTGTGTTGCTAGATTCATATATGATTAATATTCGGAGTTCTGCTTTAAATTTTTAAGTTCAGTTTGGAAATTCAGTCAGAAGAACCAGGGAGTATACTGTACAATCTCAGCACGATGACAATTTCAAAACGCTTTACAGCGTGCCAGGATTGCAGGCTCGATTTCGAGCATGCGCAGTAGTGACAATACAATCTCAGCACGGTGACAATCTCAGACCGCTACACCGGGATCGTTCTTGTGTATTCGTCTTAGGTGATTCAACAAAGAGGGCAGAGTTTCACCAACAAAATAGACACAAAGATTGCAGCGATAAACCATATTCACATAAAATTAGTGCATTATTACCACTGTTATATTATACCACTGATTTCACTGATTATTATATTGATATGTTTACGTGACTAACAAGCGCTCTCGCAAGTGGTCACTCGGGTTGCCTGTTTTGCCGCCTTTTTCGTCTTTTCGCACTCGAGGTCGTGCTGCAAAATTTCAAAGAAGTCATGGATGCCGAGCTTCACGGATATTTATTGAAAAAAGGAGTCCGAAAAAATGTACTGGATATTTTAGAAAAGGAAGAGGTATGTCTGCTATAATCATTTCACTTAAATCTGGAGAGGAAATAGAACGCAGAATAGTTAAAAATATTGAAAACGAACTTGACTGGTGTCATCAGTTTTTACGTTGTTTGAAAATTATCACCGACACCGGGAAAAGAAACCAAATATAATCAGTGTTCTCCATTTTCTCACTTGATATTTATGCCACGGACAGAAAATATAATGCCGGCATCACTGGGAAAAGATATTTCATACTTCTTTTCAATCCTTTTATACAATGAACAGCTCGAAAAAGAAAGCATATATGACTGACAAACTGAGTATTAAATCTGACAATCAACAGTCAGATTCAGTTGGTTGACTATTTTAGTTAATTATCTATAACTGCATTAACATGTATAACATAATAAGAAATGTGTTCCAGAATAGTTTTTAATAGACACTACAACACCATGGGCATGGGTCAACTGCATACAATTTTGCTAGTGGCAGTGCCAACCATTTTGTTTAGCAACAGAAGAGTTCCTACGGCTACACTATTAATTCATCTAAAAATAACTAGGTTAACCCGAAAAGTACACATTTTTAAGTAATGTCAGTTTTAATATGAATCAAGGCCAAAGGAAAGGCAGGAATTAATTTAGTGGCTGGAAGTTTCGTTAAAAAATAAGGAGATTTTCAATGTGAGGGAAATTATTTTTAACAGTGGAAACACTTTCCTTTCCATAATAAATCCTTAAAATCCTTATGCAGTTTTCCCTTTTCTTCTTGCCAGTGGAAGCACTGATTCTAAAAATATATTAAACTTTGTATTAGACTGTATTACAGTATGATCTGAGTATTACCACTGAATTAAGCAAAAAGCAAAACATTTAATAGCAATAAATTCAGCCCAGAAAACATTTCTTGGATGCTATACAACATGGGGAATTTGATCACCAGTGATCAATTACATGTGGATTGTGGACTTTGCTTTTTGACAGGGAGATTTATACACTGTGTAAATGAATAACCTGCTTTTAAAAGGTCAGATGCCTGGGGTTGTTACACATTTTTGATAAGATAATTTGATTGAGTTGTTATTTAAAAATTGGTCTGCCAGTCTCTTTTATTTTATTTTTCTATATCCAATGCAACATATACTGTTTTAATGGTCTAATCTAACCTGCCATGCATGCATGATAATTGTGTATAAAAAAATAATAATAATAATAAAATAAATGTATTTAAATTTTGCTTAATTTCATATAGATATGTACCCCAAATGACATGCATTGTGCCACTGATGAACTGCTCAAACTATGTGGGATATCGGCAGGTCAAATAATTAAGATACGTACATGCATTGATTCATTCAGTGGTACAGATTTTGAGGATCAAGCAGTAAATCCTAATTTTGTGTATCCGGAGGTTGAAGGGGCTGACAGTGATGTTATCAACCTTGTTGATCTACAACAAGTATCGAAAACAAGCGTGATTGAAGATCAACATTGTGTTTCAAGACAGGATGCTGTTAATAATCACTTAGAATCAGAAACAGCTTCTCATGTGAAGCCAATGCCGGCATTCAATATGAATGTACAGATTCCCAATGATAAATGGCTTGGCACCTTTGAATTGCCAACACAGGTAGTATAACTTGTCTATAATGTCACATTATTTTAGTCTGTCTATAACCCTTGAAAATTTTGGTTGTCAGTGGCAGGTCTGGTAGAATACTGCCAGTAAATCTGGGTTAAAAAGTTAAACATATCAATATAGTGAAATGATTGTAATTACAACTTGGTAAACTTGCTACAGCTAGCTTGCTTATCTTTTTTTCTGGCAATACCATACTGTACAGGTATATATGGCATTTTCTGGTCATAGTTATAATAGGTAATTATGTACCAGTCAAATTTTAAGTTGGCATATGCTATTACTGTGTCTCGTAATTCATTTACCAGATATATGTAATTATGGCTAATTTATGCTTCCACTTTAAAGTTTTCTCCAAGTGTGACAGAAAGCCTACAAAAAGGATACCTACCAGGAAAAATAAGAAATGAATTCACCAGAGATATTTGTTCAGCAGTCACAGTTTATACCATGAACCCCACAAAACACCAAAGACTTCATGTGGCATTCATGATTACCAAAGCATATCCGTTCCTAGCAGACAAGATTGGCAGTGGAACAGTAAGTGGAGTTGAATTAAACTGATATTCTTACCTTGTCTAATACGTAATATGTTTTTTATGGTCATCTTCATAATAAATAACCCAAGGTACAAAATTGAAATGCTACAGTAACCATTTAACCCCAACACAAAAAAATTAGAATAAATTATAGAAACTCTCAAGAGGAACTCTCAATACAAGGTTAATGAAAATGAATACTCTAATGAATTTATATACTATTTTTAAGACCTAACCAGGAGCAGTTGTGAAAAATTCAATGTTACACTACCAGTGTTAGCTAGCAACCATCAGTGGCAAAATGGATATATTAGGAAAGAACCAACTAAGATAGGAAAGAAAAGTAATTGCCATGAATCGGGGAGGGGGGGGGGGTGGAGGGACGGTCAAACAAAGAATACTTTAGTAACAACTAGTGTACTGTACCTTCCGAAAACAAAACTCTCATATAGTGCCAGTTGAGTTTTGCTGCCAAATTCTTTATGTATTATTCTCTGTACAAGATTGACCATCAAGATTCACCAAGTATAAAAAAAATTTTCCATTAGTGGTTGGTTGTTTGGGGGTTGGGTTTGGACAGTTGAAAGGGTATTTAATACAACTGAGAATTCTGGATGTGCTGCGTGGTATGCAGGCATCTGCAGTCACTGGGACAACAATTATTTTACAAAAAAACCCCGCTTATGTAGCTACGTTACTTCTACCTTATTCATATTTGAGAAAAGGTTACCTCTAATCAACACTGATGATACAATATATAGTTATACTTTTGTTTGTATTTACTAGGTATAATTAATGCCCTCAACCTCCCAGACTTACAGTATTTGTACAAATCATGTACAGTATATATCTGTACAACAAATTAATATGAACTTTCCTTTGGTATATATAGTATTACATTTTAGAGTTTGGCTTCCCCTGTATGGTATTTATTTGTAATGCTTTCGTCCAGTATTAGAAGTGAGTTTCTATACCAGGGAAATGTTCATTCTGGCTGCCGATACATATACGTAAGATGAACATGTAAGATGAAGCAGAAGATCCAATAAAAAATGTATTTCAACTAAAATTTATTTTAACTTTATAATTATAGGCATCATGGGAGCAAGCAATCAAGCATAGATTTAAAAACATGAGAAAGCATAAGATAACTTCAAATCCATCTTCGAGGAACCAATCAGAGGAGCAGAGTACCAAACAGCGAAGAATATCAGTTGATACCACCCATGGTGAAACAGATGAAACAATCAAAGAGCATATCACCACAATAAAAAAAGAAATGGGCAAATCATCAAATAAGAATTTGATGCTCGTAAAGGAATTGATGAATGTGACGTATGGTTCCCGACAAAATAATATTCTGTCAAACCCAGTATCTATCAAGGAGACTTTAAAGATGTTTCCCGCATTAAAGTTGGTTACAGAGGTACTGTGGTTCAATATGTACTTATACTGTTGCTGCTTAACACAATATTCTGTTCTCAAAGGCAGTATAAAACATATTTATATTAAACACTTAAAATTTCCATTATTCATGCTAGCTACATGCATATCATTTCGTAGGAATGCACATGTGCATGCAAAAAGTTAAAGCACACACGCTACCCTACCTAAATACAGTTGATCGTTGTATGTATGTTATTAGTAACAAATTATATCATTTTCCATATATTCAATAGCTGAGAGCAGAATTCGAACAAATTATTGGAAGTAAACATGCAACTAGAGCAATAGTTGACATGTTTAAAAATGATTGGCAACCGAAGATACTGAAATTGGCCCGGACCAAAGCTACATTCAAAACCATGATTAAAGAAATGGAGGAAGCAGTTCAGGATGATGAAATAAACACATCTGGTGAGTACTGTAGAGAGATCTGGTTTTCAAACTTCAAAGTCCAAAGATTATGCACTCTTAGGCACACTTTAACAAACTCATCTGCATGGGATCTTGCCTAGACCAAGCCAACTCGGTTTAGCTTGCCCGACTATGTGTGGTCTTACATAAAACTAAGGTTTAGCCCTTGCAACCAAAACTCGGCTTCCGGCAAGAAAATTTTAACAAAATTTCATATTTAAAAAAGTTATGCAATATAAATTGCATGTACTGTTTATACTGCAGCTATTTCAATTAAGGTTGACATCAACAATTGTAAAATGTGAGCACAAAGTCTAACAGAATGATGGCGATATCGTTACCTAAGTTTAAATAAGTTGAACACATAGTCATTGGTAGCCTTGTGGCAAAAAATAATTTGTTCATTGCTACGAGGATACCGATTTGTTAAACTTATTAGTTGTCACTGCCAACTTTAACTGTCTGAAGAGCGCAGAGATTAGGTTTTCCCTAAGAATTAAGTTAAGTATTGTACTTCCTTTTAGGGGCTGTTCATATGATCCCGCTTACCGAGATTAAACAAAGTGTGAAATGATTTTGAGATATTGAAAAAAGCCTTTATGAATCCTAACAAGCAAATGTTAATGTCGGGCTGACTACATCACTGCTAGGATCACGTTATTTACTTATTTCAATATCTCAAAATCATTTTACGCTTTGTTTAATCTCGGTGAGCGGGATCATATGAACAGCCCCTTAGACCTTTTTTATACCTTTCTGATTAACTCAAATCAGTAAAATCCAAAACATTGCATGTCCAGCACTTTAAAGTAGCAATTTGAGCAAACCACAAACAGGTTTTCGTCACAGCTTTTATAACACAGGGAGACACTTTATGTCATTCATTTTATATTAAGAAGAGTTCGTGTTTAACAACTACTGATGTTTATTATTATTTTTATTAGACATCGAGGGGAATTTTTCTATCATATTTCTTCAAAAATTTCTGCAAGAGCGCTGCGGATCAAAGAAAGAAGCGGCTGTCAAAATATGTTCAGTAAGTACTGTAATATATATCTCAGTAATATTTGCATAGTCTGCCGCAAGCGTTTGGAGCAAGATGCAGTCTGCACTGTATGCGCAGTGGCGCTATAGACCACCAGCGGCATCCACCATTTTTGGAGGGCAAATGTTGTGGTTTTCAAGTCTTTAAACATTTCAACAGTCGTGAATGTCAGCGAATGCAAAATAAACATATCTTCACCATATTCGAGTACAAGACAGGTGCTTTAAAGAGTCAAAATACTAGTTAATTTACAGCGTTTTCCCCCCAAGATGGCGGCTAGTTACGAAGCTCGTCATGTGTGACGTCACGCGCGAGTGGTCTATATATATAGTTATGTAGCCTGAAGACTAGTCTGTCAGCGGAGCTTATTTAGAAACCGTAGACAGTCGGTAGCATCTTTAATAGTCGGTAGCATCATTTAAAATAGTCGTACTTAATATTTTTATTTAGCAATATATATAGTTTATTTGTGCAGTGGCAACCAGCGATGTGATGGTGGCTAAGTGGTTTAGGTCGTGTGTTGTGGTGTAGTGTATGGCATGCTGAGCTAACAATTTTCTTCGCTTTAAATTTTTGCCAACTTACTGATATTATCTCCCAAATTTAATCCCAGCAATACCGTTTGGTTAGTTCTGTGGTTATGTGTGGGTCAGGTTTAGGTACTGTATTTGTCTTTAAAAATGGTCAATAACGCGCTCTTGTAGTCTGGGAATGACTTAGATGATGGTACCGACCATCAATGATGCTACCGACTGTCTACAGAATCCAAATTTGCGTCGGCGGAAGACTATAGTCCACTGGAAACGGAATGTCGAGATAAATCACGAAAATACCATTCAATATACCATACATTTCTTAGTTTGTTTGATGATCTCGAATCAACGGGATGAAGTTTGTCCAGCTTAGGCCAAATCCGTTTCAGGCTCTGAAAAAGTTCACTTTGATTTGTTAAAATGGAAGTGCCGCGAGCCTATGTACATAAATTTCGCGTCATGAATATATTATATATGTATAATTGACATTGTAGGGCCTCACTCTCTTCTATACGTATACATTTGACATTGCTTAGGAGGATGAACCATGGACAGAAAAATTGAGGAAACTCTTACCCCGATGTTAATAGGAAGCGACAGTTGTGATAGTTTAGACCCGCTTTATATTGTGGCTGAAGGAGAAATTGTTGTGTCCATTCCGGCTCGCATGAACCTGGTGCAATCAGTCATGGTTTTGATGGGAGTCTACTACGTGTTCAACATCGAGTACCCAAGGGAAGGAAAAATTTTTTTTACTTTTATGGAAGCGGTCCTGAGAGATGAATGTGATGCTGCGAAGAAACGTGTTGTCGTTAACAAAGTGTTGCAAGATTTGGACACCGTTTGACATTGACATGCACATTGTTCGTTAAACAGTAGCTTTGCCCTACTGTATATATATGTGATTTGCATGAGTTTAATTTTTGACAACAGGTTCAGTTAACACGTTTATTTGTAATATCCATGGTACGAAATAAAAAATAAATATGATCGTTGAGAACTGCATGGTTTCAATTATAAAATTCCATGCAGAAATGGGAGGATTTAGTATATTATATATAATATCAGCAGCTAGTGTAGTAGTAACATTTTACTGTGTCCCTCACGCTGTATAACCTTGCCCAAAATTCGACACCATGCAATTTAACTCCAAGATGGGAGTTATTTTAAGCAGCAAAGTGGGGGTTAAAATAACCCATTTCGCCGGGGGTACATTTAACCCCCAATATGGGAGTTCAATTTAACCCCTAAAAACGAGTTATTCTAGACTCATTTTTAAAACCCCACTTTTGGAGTTAAATTAACTCCTTAAAAATAACAGTGTAATGTCTAACTTAAACTATTGATTTGCAATATATCTATTGACAAGCTTTGTTGTACACAATATATATTGTACACTATATACAAGTATAATAAGATATACCAACAGAATTGCTATATTTGGATAGTTGAACTATCTATCAGTAGGTGCTGTTTAACTTATTCAAAACGTATCAGATATTTAAGGTTACATATGTTTGTGTGAAAAGGTTGTATGCAAACAGATCTAAAGCCCTTTAAAAGTACCCCAGCATTAAATGCTTAAGGAAAATAATTGTAATGTCTAACTGAAACTATTGATTTGCAATATATCTATTGACAAGCTTTGTTGTACAAAATATATATTGTACACTATATACAAGGATAATAAGATATACCAACAGAATTGCGATATTTCGATAGTTGAACTATCTAGCAGTAGGTGCTGTTTAATTTATTCAAAAGGTATCAGATATTTAAGGTTGACATATGTTTGTGTGAAAAGGTTCTATGCAGAGAGATCTAAAGCCCTTTAAAAGTACCCTAGCATTAAATGCTTAAGGAAAATAATTGTAATGTCTAACTGAAACTATTGATTTGCAATATATCTATTGACAAGCTTTGTTGTACAAAATATATATTGTACACTTTATACAAAGATAATAAGATATACCAACAGAATTGTGATATTTGGATAGTTGAACTATTTATCAGTAGGTGCTGTTTAATTTATTCAAAAGGTATCAGGGGCCGGTTGTTCGAAAGGCGTTTAGCTTAAACGGTGGATAAGCCGAAGTTTAAACATACTCTCATAGATCTTGCGAATGACTGAACCTGCATCTTATGCATTTAATATGCACTTCCATTGACAATTAAACTATTTACATCGAAATATTTCAGCTCAGTTGTTCAATAAATAGGTAATTTTGTTTTCCATTTTGAACTTATCCACCGTTTAAGCTAAACACCTTTTGAACAACCGGCCCCAGATATTTAAGGTTGACATAAGTTTGTGTGAAAAGGTTGTATGCAAAGAGATCTAAAGCCCTCTAAAAGTAGCCCAGCATTAGTTTAAGGAAAATACATTGTAATGTCCAACTGAAACTATTGATTTGCAATATATCTATTGACAAGCTTTGTTGTACACAATATATATTCTACGCTATATACAAGTATAATAAGATATACCAACAGAATTGCTCTATTTGGATAGTTGAACTATCTATCAGTAGGTGCTGTTTAACTTATTCAAAACGTATCAGATATTTCAGGTTGACATATGTTTGTGTGAAAAGGTTCTATGCAAAGAGATCTAAAGCCCTCAAAAGTAGCCCAGCATTAGTTAAAGAAAAATACATTGTAATGTCTAACTGAAACTATTGATTTTCAATATATCTATTGACAAGCTTTGTTGTACACAATATATATTGTACACTATATACAAGTATAATAAGATATACCAACAGAATTGCTATATTTGGATAGTTGAACTATCTATCAGTAGGTGCTGTTTAATTACGATCGCTTCAGTCGTTACGATCGCTGAAAAAAATTGCGATCATGATGGTTACGATTGTGGTGGTTGCTTGGGATCGCCAGCTAGTTGATTTCCATTTAATTGCTACGGTCGCTCGTAATTTTTTTCAGCGACCGTAACGACTGAGGCGATCGTAACGAGACTTAAAGCTCTTGCAAAGTACTCCAGGTATTATTTGCATTGCTCATTTTTTTAATTATAATAAAAACTGAGATTTAATTTACA